TAAAATACAAAAATTTCATATAAATTCTCAGTAAATCAGTATGTCATAGATTCTTCCTAAAAAGAGATTGTAATAGTTTCTTTACAATTGATAAATTGTTTCCTCTCAAAATTACATTGAAAATGTATAAATTCGTATACACTAAAAAGTTGAACTATCAAACTTATTTTTACTGGTTAATTGTATATTTGTGATATATTCTTAAACTTGGATTATTTAAATGATAAAAGGTATGTCAAAGTGAAGAAATGTTAAATATATTTTATTATAGGTTTTAAATTATTATTTAAAATATTTATTTTTTTAGAATATTATTTCAACTATGTTGTTCAAGAGTTATAAATTACAAATTTCAATTAGTATATATAATAATAGAGTTTTTTAAACTTAGCCTTTTTAAATATTTATGCATTATTTTTTATAAAAATACATATTTATTACATTAAAATTATAACAATATAAAAAAAATTCTTTTATAAGATTTTATTATTTTAGTATCCACACTTACATTTTTTATAATAATATCATATTACTAGATAGTATATACTATAAAAGTGCGCTCTCCCTTCTCTTGTTTCTGTTCGAAGTAAATTTCAAACTTGCAACAGTGCCCATTGGAGATGTGACGTTGTTTTCGCCATTTATTAAATTATTGAACGAACTATATTTATATCTTTGCAGGTTTAATTAAATTTTCTCATGTATATATATATATATATATTTGCTATTTATCATTATCTTTTTAAATATTATATTGTTATGTAAATTTAAAATTATTAAAAAATTCAATAACCTTTTAAAATATTCTAGTGGCTTTTCCTTTTGACGCCACTCTGTCGGTGGCTCCTGCGTAAGCCAAAGTGGCGCTCACGCGTTTTTCTTTTTTTTTTTCCTCTTGTTTTTGTCGAAATTAAAATTTTCACTGGCTACTTAATCTGTAGTGGATCACATTTACTTCCTTAACTATCATAGAATTACTTGATCAAGGGAAAAAAAATTTAAAATAAAATTCTTTATAAAATAGAAAAGTAAAAATTTATTTATCTTTATGAGTTAATATTATCATATGTTTTAAATTATACCAATAATAAATGATTTTATAGTTTTCATTTTACAACACAATTATTTTAAAGGAATTTTATCCCTTGATCACAGTGTGTTTTTCTATTATCCTTTTATCTCGATCATTTAAGAAATTATTTCTTATCTATATTCTTCGTTATTTTTATTTATATCAAATAAAATTAGAGAAAATGTTAATGAGTAATAATATTTTAAATATTTAAATAAATTTTTTTATTACGATTATATATAGATATATTGTAATTGTATTATTTGCTTAAGTTCTAATTATTGCAAAAAATAAAATGTTAATTATTTCATGTAATAAATAGTTACTTTGTCAATAACATTTTATAACTATTTAATGGTTGAAGTCAGCTTAAAAATTAATGTTGATTTTTCTTAAATTAAGATGTAACACTTTTAAAGCTAGACAACTTAGAAAAACAAGACTTAAATAAATTCGTTGTTCATGAAAAATGACTTAAATGAGAAGCCCAATTCGTAAAAGTCATTAATGAGTGAGAGCAAAAGAAAACAGTGGAAGAAATGCTCTTAAATTTTAGGTTTAGTTAGGTTGATGAATGATTCATGGTGTGTGTGTGTTTTTGAAAGAATATATTTGTTAATCAAAATATGATTTAATTAAATTAATTTATGTATGTATCTTAATTATATTTAATAATTTAAAATTAATATATTAAAATTAATTTGATTAAACGTTAAATTAAGTAAGGATTAATCTTGCAGAGAGAGAAAAGAAGGGAGGCAGTGTTGACATAGGCAACAGCTAGCAGGGACTAGTTTAACTCCAAAACATGGGGGGCCCTTGAAAGAGAAATGAAAGATAGGGAGGATAAACAGAAGACTATTGTAGCACGTTAATTAGGAACATCTGCAAAGGCCTCTCAAGAAACAGTTTAAAAGCAAAAACTGTATTTTAAATGGCAAAAAGGGTTGTTAACATCAAGCCATTGCTGGACACTGGACACTGGACACCGAACCTATCCAGTATCCTTATGTGGCATTCTGTACCAAAACTTGCGTGCAGTATTAATTATCTTATCCATAATCAGTCTAATCATGTCTTGTTTAACATCACCATCTGCACTGATTTCTTAAGTAGATTTGCTCCAATAATGTGTATACATAGAGTGAATAATAAGTAGCAAAATGTAAAATTTTCCATGTTAGTTAATATTTTATGTGTTAGATCTTCATTTGCTGATCCACATTTAATGTCCCCTTTTGCTTGAATGCAAAATCATACTCAAATTTGCATGGACAAAGATAGGTAGGCCCAATCGTACATACCCATTCCTCTCATTGGGGCGATTAGTAATTCAACCCAAATAAAACTGCAGATCGATCAACTTAGCTGTAAATTTTTTTATATGATAAAATATAAATAAAGAGTACAAGTCAATTGATTCGAACAATCTGCTTTTATGTAGTGAATAGTATTTCTGAAAATATCAATGATTAAACAATTATAAATTCCTAATTTTGTCGGTTCAATTATGATTAACTGTCAGTAATTAAATTTAAGTTTTTAATATTATCTATCTCTCTACAAAAATAATTTTTTTGTTAATTTATTTTTCTCCAAATAATAATAATTTTACAATTTCAAGGTAAAATTCATTGTTTTTCTTCTAATTTTATCCTTAAAATAAATATTATATCAAAGTTTATTTTCTATCTTCTCTTTTCATTCATTTATTGCATAAACAAATTTTAAGATAAAAAATTTCATATTACTTTTAATAAAAAATAAAATGATTAAATATATTTCTTAATTTTTGTGTCACAATCTTAAATGACTATTTTTTAAAGATGGATAAAGTAATATATATTACTTCTTTCGATTTTTTTATAAAAAATAAAAAACTAAATCATCAAGACTAAAAAAATAATTAAATATGTTATATTTTATAAATATAAATTTTTTTCAAAAATATTCATAATATTAAATGATATAATTAATAATTTATAAATTTAATAATACTAATAAAAGAAGAGTATAAAAGAAATTTAGTAATTAATATATCTTAAATTTATTATTTGTTTCTTATAATAAGGACTAAAAAAATATTTTATTTTATTTCTTATAAAAAAGATCGAAAAGAGCAAATATTAAGTCATAATGCATGTCTCTTAAAATTATAGAAAATAATAGTAAGAGTCTACAAGAAATAATTTAATGAAATAACGAATTTAAGTTTTTGCGTAAATTAACACGTTTAATTTTTGTTAACTAAATTGATGACTATAGAATTTTAAGATGTTACAGTAAAAAATTTATAGCAATAATATTATCATTACATTAACTAATTTACTTATATTATGAGAAATTGATATTAAAATACTTTTTATTAACTTAAAATTTAACAGTTTAATGAAATAGACTTTTAATCTATTTAATAAATAAGGTTATATTAAAATTAAGAGTTTCATTTTAATACATTATTAATATAAAAAATTTATATCATCAATCAATTAAAATATACTGTGAAAATAACTTTTATATTAATTATTATATAAATTATCAATTCTTAATTATTGAAAAATATTTATACTGTTAATATGCGTAAAGTAGCAGTGCGTGATTTTTAAAAATATTTTGGTTCAAATAGTGGGTGGGGTCAAACAATGATATAAGCAGGGACATTCCTTGTACAGGTAGAACTTTTGAACCGTTTCATTTCTGTTAGTTTATCTGAATTGCCCAACTCATTTAGGTCGTAGCTCAGCGATGTATATCGCTGATATCAGACTCAAATAACTTTACAACATTTCAACATAAATAGAAACATTAATTTAGGCGAATCATGTGCAAAAACGCAGAAGAAGCTGCTTCGTTGGATATTTTATTTACAGATGCAATGCTAGCCACAAGTCTATTCCATTTTACTTCCCCTCTTTCCCTCCTCCTCTGCCTCTTTTAATTTATTTTTTAACGCACCAGGTTTTTTAAACAACAGGGGTTAAACTCATCGTTTTCTCTTTTATATTTTTGTTGGTAACGTCAGAGTTTAAACTCTGCATACTGATTTTCAACAAAATTTTTCTTAAAATTAGTAGGCGGTTGACTTTGGTCGTGTTATATTTTGTCTTTTTTTTAAAAAATAGTCGTACAACATACTTGTATCACGAAAATATGTATTGCATATTTACATATCACGAAACTATCCTTGCCATTCTTGTTTTTTTGTCGATATAAAATAAATATTCTTCATATCCTGCACATATGTTTAAGGCATATTTACTTATAATTCACACACACACACACAATACTAATTATGAAATTAAAGTTTTTAATAAAAAGAAAACGATGACGATAATATTTAAACTACTAAAATGGTTAAAGGCAGAAAGAGAACGTAAAAATGAAGAAAAACAGAAGAAGGAATTATTGGAAATATTTGAAGATGATAATAAAGTTAAAAGACGAGAGAAAATTGACGATGGGGAATGAAAACGACGATGGGGTTGGATTGTTGGGAAGTTACCTTAAAAGTTAAGATGATGGCATCACATCATCATGCAGCATGGAGTTCCCCTATGAGTGCAATACAGTTTTAACGTAATGCAAAATTCTTCATCCTCGGGTCACATACATCACATTCAAAATAATAATTAAACAAATAATAGAAAAGGAAGGAGGCAAGGAATAGGAATTGGAATAGAAACTAGAAGGCCCTTTTATTCAGTGGGCAGTAGTAGCAAAAGAAAGTAGTAGCCAGCTAATTCCTGCGATATAGACCTCACACCTACCAACTTCCCTCTCTCTCTCTCTCTCACACACACACACACACTCCCTCACTCACTAACTAACGGTGGTAAGCACCGTCGTTTATATAAAGGACACCATCCATTACCACACTACTTACTGACCAACACCATCTACGAAACTAAAACACACACACACACGCGCGATGGAGTACGGAAGGCTGGGGCCCACTGATCCTGGTGGTTCTTTGCGTTTAGACGCTCCTCCCGTTAGCCAAAAATCCTCCACCAAGAAGAACATCATTTTGCTGTCGCTTCTAGCCGTCGTTCTAATCGTCGCTTCCGCCGTCTCCGCCGTTTTGCTCACCGCCGTTCGCTCTCGTGCTTCCGGCCACGATCCCAACGGTCCTAACCTCCGCGGGAAGCCGACGCAGGCGATTTCCCGCACGTGCAGCAGAACGATGTTTCCCACGCTGTGTGTGAACTCGCTCCTGGATTTTCCGGGATCCGCGACGGCGTCCGAGCAGGACCTGGTTCACATTTCCTTCAACGTCACGCTGCAGCATCTCTCCAAGGCGCTCTATTCTTCCGCCGCGATGTCCAATTCCTACGCCACCATGGACCGCCGCGTCCGCGCCGCCTACGACGACTGCCTCGAGCTCCTGGACGACTCCGTCGAAGCTCTCGCTCGCTCCCTTAACTCCGTCTCCGTGAGTCCCGTCGGCTCCTCCAACGACGACGTGCTGACGTGGCTTAGCGCCGCGCTCACCAACCAGGACACTTGCGCCGAGGGCTTCGCCGACACCAGCGGCAACGTGAAGGACCAGATGGCCAACAACCTGAAGGACTTGGCGGAGCTTGTGAGCAATTGTCTCGCGATTTTCTCCTCCGCAGGCCCCGGAAACGACTTCGCCGGTGTTCCCATTCAGAACAGGAGACGGTTGATGGCAATGCGACACGATAATTTCCCGAGATGGTTGAATAAACGAGATAGGAGATTGCTGAGCTTGCCAGTGTCGGCGGCACAAGCCGATGTTGTCGTGTCGAAGGACGGTAACGGAACGGTGAAGACCATTGCCGAGGCCATTAAAAAGGTGCCAGATTACGGTACACGGCGCTTCATTGTCTACGTCAGGGCGGGAAGGTAAATTCACTCAATCTCTTTCTCAGTTTGATTTTTTTACATTTTCTTCTCTTATATTTTTACCTCTTTCTCCTTTTTTATTTCTCACGATAATATGAAAAAAGTTTTCTCCACTCTGTTATCTCTTTCAACTCTATTATTTAAATAGTTAAAAAATTACGCTGTCTATAATATTATAATTTTTTTTACTTTTTATACGTGTACAGTTTAAAAATAATTAATTAATTAAATTATATCTTAATTTGTAAAAATAATCATTTTTCTTTCTTATTTTTTTCAACCGTAACAACTGATTTTTTAATCATTGTTGTTTAACGGAGTGCGGAATTCTAGTCTGTGGACTGTGCACTGTGGATTGCGGAGTGATTGCGTCATTGACTTAGTGTTGACAATTATGCATGCACTGCAACTGTAATCATGTGATTGTACATATGTAATATTGATATTTTAGTTTTTAACACTTAAAAATTAGCATTGCATGTAATATTATAATTATTTTTTTATACATACATCTAAAGAATACTTTTTAAGTATAAAAAATACTTAAAAATGTCTCTCAAATATTTTTTTATTTTCATATTGTAATCATAATGAATTCCTTGTCTATATACAATAGTAGTATAATATTTTCATATGTCTCGTTTAGTAATATCTTAAATGTTATGTATTTTACTTAGCCTGCGTATACAAACGCCAAATATAGGGGGCGTCATTGTTTTAGCAATATATATATATAAACGAAGCAGGTTTGGTGTAAGATTTTATTTTTATGTAAATTTCATTTCAGGTACGAAGAGGACAATTTGAAATTGGGAAGGAAGAAAACCAATGCGATGTTCGTAGGGGAGGGGAAGGGCAAGACCGTCATCACAGGTGGCAAGAATTATATGGAGGGCATGACAACGTTCCACACCGCCTCCTTCGGTAAATTCACTTCTCTTTGCACTTCAGCAAGTACTACATATATTTTTTATAACTTTTTAAAAAGTAGAAATAAAAACTATTAACATAAATATTAATTATTTAAATAAGATTAAAAATTATAAATTAAAAGATATTTTTAAAATATAAAATTATGTAGTTAAAACATCAATTCAAAATAAATAAAAAAAAAGAAACCATATGGTATTTTTTAAATACTAAATGAATTTTCTTTTAAAATTGTCATATTTTAATACGTAAAGACAAATTATTATGGTAAGTTTTCTTTATTATTTTTCATGTAAATGAGAAGGGGAGAGAGAAAAACTACCAAATCAATGGTTGAAAATAAAAACCATGCACAACATGAAGTAGACCGTACAAATAGCACGTGGCCTGCGGTTCTAGGTTGTCATATTTTAAGATTCCTTGCTGTAAAGATCACTTTTTTTTGGGGGGGTCAACGTTGCTGTTTAATCGCTTGTCTACTCTCAGTGAGTCTTCGATCTCCACTTCCACTTCTACTGTCTTCTTTAAGAGCCTGTTTGTGCGAAATGTTCGCAAAAATAAATATTTTGATGCCATTGAAATCGATTTGATTTTGGTGCTGAATGAATCTTAACTTATTATTAAGTGGAAAAATCAATTCACGTACGTGGGAACACATAATCAAACCCCCTCTTTGAAAAAAGAAAAGGTAAGCGAAGTCAATGTTCAAGAAAATAAAAATTACATAACTCAATTAATAAAATCGTAAACAAAGAAAGTATATTCCTCTATTTTTTGGGATTATTTTTATACATAATATGTAAATACAAAATAGCGTGCATTATGTAATATGTATTGCTCATATGATACATTTTGAATACGTCTAATTCCTATTTTAAAAATCTCCAACCTTTTCGAATCACGAAAGGTGAAAGTTTGATACAAAGGTATGTTTGATTTAACAAACTACTTTATTTTTTCGCTTTTACTTTTTTATTAATAGCTATAAAAGTGTCATTTTTTAAAGTAATTTATTTAAACATGGTGAAGATATCATTTCGTTATTTTTACCATGTTCTGTAAAAATTTAAATAATAAAAAAATAATTTGATATTTGTATAATTAATAATAAAAAGAAAACAAAATTTTAGAAAACATTTTTTGTTTTTATCTTTCTCATTAATAATAAAAAAATGCACTATTTGTATCTCGTCTCTTGGTCTTATAAACTTCTTCAAGAAATGAGAAAAACAAAAAATTGGATCTCCCCTCTGCCTCCACCAAAACAATAACCCCACATCTTGAACTCAAAATCACATAATGTTCTTTAATATTCATCTTATCCTCTAACGAAAGGCCCCAAATTAGAGTAGCAAAACCAAATTATTTTTAGTGGGCCATGTAATGCTTTCGAAATTAACAAACAGTGTCATATTTTTGTCCCGCATTAACAGAATATTCAAAAAGACAAGATCACCAGTAATAATTATATTTCAACCACTTATAACACCGATCCTTTCCTGTAGTGCAGCCGCTAATGGTCCTGGCTTTATTGCAAAAGACATGACATTCGAGAACTACGCCGGGCCAGGGAAGCACCAAGCGGTGGCCCTCCGTGTCGGAGCCGACCACGCGGTGGTTTACAACTCCAACATCATCGGATACCAAGACTCATTGTATGTCCACTCGAACCGTCAATTTTTCCGTGAATGTGACATTTACGGAACCGTGGACTTCATATTCGGCAACGCCGCAGTGGTTTTCCAAAAGTGCAACCTCTACGCTCGCAAGCCCATGCCCCAACAAAAGAACACCATCACGGCCCAAAACAGAAAGGATCCAAATCAAAATACGGGTATTTCAATCCACAACTGTCGGATCCTGGCCACTTCGGATCTGGAAGCAGCCAAGGGTAGCTACCCTACCTATTTGGGTCGTCCATGGAAACTATACTCTAGAACGGTGTACATGCTGTCCTACATGGGGGACCACATTCATCCACGTGGTTGGCTAGAATGGAACACTTCATCGTTCGCTTTGGACACATTGTACTATGGTGAATACATGAATTCAGGGCCGGGTGCAGCTATTGGGCAACGGGTAAACTGGGCCGGGTATCGGGTCATAACTTCCACTGTGGAAGCAAGTAGATTCACAGTGGGCCAGTTCATATCAGGCTCCTCCTGGTTGCCATCCACCGGAGTCGCCTTCATTGCTGGGTTATCAACCTGAATTCCACTGCAACTGTACACATCCTTCATAGTTTAATCCAACCCAATTGGCCAATATAATTTTATATATCTGTTGTAAAATGATAACGTTAGCATTTATGATTGATTTTAAATTACTAAAAATAATAAGATTTTATTGAAAAAAATGTTTATTACACTATATTTTTTATGTAATAAATATTCTTTTTCAGTAAATTTTTATTACTTTTAGAATATTAAAATCAACCTAAAACAGATCTTTTATTTGTATCTGCATTAAACTTTATAGGTTTTTTCTTTTGGCATAATGCTTCTCTTTTTTTACCATATGATGATAATAAGGAATGTAAGTTGTATGTAAATAGTGTTTAATGTCATATATAGCTCTTATTTCTTGCTTGCTCCACTCAACGTCAAAGTAGTTATAGCTCTCTAAAGAAGTGATTACCAGCATTTTCATTTCACCCATAGAAAATAAGAAAATTAGAAGGTTGTATCATGATTTGTGCATAGATTTTGAGTGGCCACTTGCTTACTCGACGACGAACCTTGGGTCATTTGATGTGTAATTATTTTTTAAACTGAACACTGAGTGGAGACCTTGTCATTATACTAGTGCCTAAAGATTCCTAGATTTTCATTAAAAATATTAAACCCTCTAATTAAAATTTATAAGCAAATGTTCCATCTGAAGAGGAAAAGATAAACTGAGCTCGTGAGTAGTCACTGGTGAACTAGGAAAACCGTTAAAATCCCACATTTGTCAGCATTGGACCTTATGTACCGTTTTTAAATTTTGTTCACCAGTGAACTACTGTTTTTAATTTTTGTTCACAAAACGTATGTACCGTCAATTTTTTTTTACATGTTTTTAATTAAAAAAAACTATGAAAGAAAAAAATGACAATAATATTATTAAATTGCTCAGGAAGAGTGAAAGTGATGTTGAGAAGCTAAATTTGATTATCTCTCATATGTTGTGATTATATCTCATAGAAATTTGCGATGGGAAAATTATGTGGGGTTAATAGCTTGAGGAAAACACAATGGGATTTTGTTTTACGTCATAGGACTTGGATGTGGATGTTTAAGTTGGGTTATAAATTTATGTTTCTGTTTTTCTTATTCTTTTTTATTTCTTATTTAGTAATGCAATTGCTTGGAAACTTCGTAGCAGCATACATGACCAGCCATTAATTAGTGGGGGCATCAGATGGGATATCTCATCATCATCGCGATATGTCATTGATAGATCCCCATCCTCACTTAGATTCTATTAAGATTTCATGTTAAATATATGAATAAATTCATCTTATTGTGACGCATTTGTTTATAAAATTTATAGTTAACCACAATCTTTTTTACATGGAATTTTATTTGAACTGATTATAATTATTACGTGCAGTAAAAAATTTCTTTAATTATTTAATGCAGCTATGCATCTTATTGTATACTTTAGATGTCTAATTTTATGTGACAGAACTTGATTTTGGTAAAAAGATTGTGGTGGGATAATTAGTATAGACGCACAGATAGAGAAAAAGTAGAAGGATAGGGAAGCAATCTCAACTTTTGGAAAACATTAACTGCGCATATGTTTGAAGCCAATCATTATATTAGAGAATTTTGATTAAAGTTTTGTAGAATGAATGCTGATTTCATAACATTGGAAACGGACTGAAAATGATGAAATTGATTTAAATAAGAAGGGGCTCTCAATTTTTAGTTTTATGGCCTTAAGAATGGAAAAATTTATCATGCCGATCTTTTCGTTGTTTAGTATACGAAATCAACATGAAATCAAATCAAATTTAGTGTGTTTCCGTGTTTGGATTAATTAAAAATATTCTATTATAGATACAATTGATTATGATAATTAATTATATGAAATAAGTTTTATATTTAGAATATTAAATGAATAGTGATTTTAAATAAATATATATTGTTTCAATTATATAAAATAATTATTTCTTTGGGGTAAAATTAGAAAAATAATATATGAAATTATGTGTTATTGTTAATTTTTTATTTAAAACAATCATTTATTATGGGTAAAATGAAAAATAAAATAAAAAATTAACTAGAAAATAAGCTGATATCTTTTAACCCATAAGCTCAAAAACTTTGCTTATCTTAAATAAGTTATTTTGTTTAAAAATTTAATGAAATATTATAAGTTAATTTTATAAAATTTATGAAAAAAATGAATAGTATTCTTTTTTGGCTTTTTTCACATAATCAGCAAAAATAATTTAAACCATACACATAATCTAATTAAATGATATCAATATTTTAATGAAAAGAATTTAATTAGAATGTCTTGATAGTATTAAAGTTTTTATTATGTTATTTAATAATAAATTGTCATTAAAACGTTAACTTTTATAACTACTTTAAAAGTTCCATATAAATATATTTATAATTATTAACTGTATAAAGTTTTTTATATTAATAATGTATTAAAATCAAATGCTAATGAAATTTTAAAAATATTTATTTTTATATATTTCTTATATCACGGATACACATCCTTGAGAGTAATATTCACGTTAACTACTATTTTTATTATTTTAACTTAACAACACATAAATTTCGTTCCTCACGTTAGATGAAAAATGATATAGAAATTTACTATTATGATGCTCAATATATTATCTCTATTAGCTATATTATTCATTACCATTATATAAATAGTGATAATTGCAAAATTTTAATGTAACGTCGAAGAAAAATATAAACCACCATTTTTTAAGCATGAAATGCTTTGTAAAATGTTACAGCACATCGAATCCTACTTATATGAATACAATAAAAAAAATAATGATAATAATAAGTACACTTTTTAATTTTTGTTACACATGATATCTCTAAAACTTTAAAATCTCCCCAATAAAATGATATCTATCCCTTGATACGTGAAAAGAAATGAAAAGGTGAAAGGTGGATTAAATAGAACTTGATCGTGCTATCCGATTTCAAAAGCTGGTCATAGCATTATAACTAGACTTGATTATGAATCGGTTTGATTAAATTTCTAAACAAGTTTGTACGGCAGAAAAAATAACAGCACAACAAATGAATATTTTTTTAATAAGTTAAAAATAATTTAATTTTCGAACAAAATAATACAAATTTGCATAAAAAAAAATACAAATCTCACTTTCATTCCTTTCAAGCAGGATTAGGTATTTCCCGCTCTGATGCAATCTCGCAGAACTTTGAGAACCTTTTTTCAAATCTGAATAACATTGTAAATAATAAGTTATATTTTTATTAAATATAAATTTTTAATGCATTGAATTTAGTAATTCTTAATAAAAATTTGTAATATACAAGTTTTTATTATGTACACTATTACACATGTTAAAAATCCCTTTAAGAGAAAAGCAGCATGAATAAAACATTTTTTTCTATGGCAAGTCCAACCTTTTAAAACACTTTTATATTCATTGAAAAAGCACAGCACAGATGGATAATATTGCACAGGGCTCCAATAAGTATTCCTGGTCAATGTTCGAATATATTTCCATGTTATTAGAGATATATATAAAAACACTAAGAGAAGTTGATATTGTAACACACAAGCATCAAATGCTTGATTAGTCGTCGGGTAGAAGTTCCAACCAGAGTCCAGTATACAAGATTGGGATCCACTTTGAAGACGGATGGAGCATCATCACTTTCACTATGTTATCATAGTATTATTTTGTACGTGAACAATATGTATTCAGTCATGGGAATAGCTTTGCTAAATAACTATCCATGATCACTGAAACATGATCAAGAAATGCAGCTTCACTTGTTCCAGAAAGTGCAGCTTTCTCTGCTTCCTGAATTATCTCCTCAATGACAGATTTTTTCTTCAATGTTTCTCTACACATGATGCTTCCAATGGCAAAAGGAGTGAGTCCTCTCTCTGCACCTTTCTGAAGAAGCATGGTAGATATACGAAGGATTCGGGCACATTCAGGAGGAAGATCCCATCCATGAAACTTTAAAAGCTTAATATCTTCTTCAGCATTCAGAGATTTTATGTAGTCAATGGTATCTGGGGAGTAAGGCTCCTTTGCTTGGGGCCAGTATAACCAATCAAAAGTGCAGTCTTCAAACTAAAGAAGGAGGGGAAAACAGCATAAGTAGGAAAAAAGAGAGGAGTGAATCCAGACTTCAAATTAACTCCTTTAAGAGTAGCAATAAAAAACGGAAGAATAGTTAATAACTAGTGTTCAATGTCAACACCTTTGCCACACAGATCAACCATATCCTAAGAACCCCAGAAGAATATTTACAATGCAGCTTAGGTGAACGTTTAGATTAACTTATTTTTAGGAAATAATAGTTTTTTCCATCTTATATTTCCAAATAAAAGTGATACCAAACATGCACCAAGTATGATGGGACAACATAATCCATACGCTAATATTTATTCATACTATCAGGAAAGGTTACATAAATTTCAACCGAGGAATGGAGACAATGCAAAATGGATATAAATTAATTTGCGATTATTGAATGATAGGCATTGCTGAAAATGATCGTAGTGTTTTTGCTATAAAAGGTATAAGAGATGTTCAACAGAGGATAACAACAGGTCAAAATATATGTCAAAGTAATCCATATCAAAATTAAAATAAAAGGATATGCAGTATTGAAACTGAAGAAGAGTCAATACTCTACTTTTCATGCAGTCTAATGCCTTATGGCAATCTAAGAAAAATATTAACGTTTAACTACAACACAAATCTTAATCTCTTAAGCAAATAACACTAGGAAAAAAGGGGCAAAATTAAATAAATAATTCCACTCAAAATTCTACAGCATTTTAGCACTTATTCTGAAATAGACATGCATGAGAAGATTTAAGAAAGACACAACATAGTTGCCAAAACACCATCAACTAAAATATCCTTACAATCGGAAAACAGAATCAATGCATTCAGTGTCAGAAGACTTACACTCTCAGGCAAGCAATAGCCATGATCAATTGGAATAAGGACAGCCTCACCATCTTCATCATCCTTGGTAATCAAAATGTTCCCAGCATGCCTATCTGCATTTACCAACCTGATGTCCAGCACCGAGATCTTGTGTACCTCTTCCACCGGAAATGCACTAGGGCCCATGTCTTCACAACTTCCAATATTCCTCACGAACATCTGAAGCGATCCTATTTTGATATTACCTGAACCATTGTGATAACTTTCTGTATTATGAAATCCTTTGTGCATGCATTTGACCATGACTGTTGGAGGAACCCCAGCAAATCCCGGTTCTTCATTGTTACAATATGAACGTGGTCCTTTCCTAGGATGATCCAAAATGTAAGCTGCTACTTCTCTCAATGCACCTTGCCCAACTCGTGTACCTTTTTTTAATCCTTCACCATCGACAGAGACAGGTAGGCTTCTAGGATTATTGATTGCCATTGGCTCCTCATCAACTGGCTTGAAAACAGAAACATACTTTAAACCAGTTGAATCTTGCATGAGATAAGCTCCTCCTGATCCCTCTGAAGACTGAATTGGTTTATATCCTTTTTCTAACCCCTCCGAAGTAATCTTAATTAGCTCCTGGACCACTAGCGGAATTTTGATATTGGAATTCAAAATAATTGGTTCCAAAAGAAAATCTCTTGTAAGTTGGTTACTTTTTAGGACCTTATTTGTGACAGACACTGATCCTAACTGGTCTCCCCTTAACTTTGGAACCATATTATGCGCACATGATGCCTCAATTGATAATTCAAAATCCTTCTCAACTGGTTGAGTCCTGACCTTAGCATCTGATATCCGGACCAAAAAATGAATCACAGCATCATTGTCCTTGCAGATATCCTCAATAAGTCTCTGGTCTTCAAGCGCCTCACCCTCACATATCAATTCTTGATCCTTGAGATTCAAGAACCCTTGCCCTTTTCTTGCAATCTGCTGCTTCACATAACCTACATTCCTATTCTTCTCAACATAAAACCCAAACTCCTTTCCACACACAGTCCTAACTGTGATAGCTTTAAGATCAGAAAGCCTAAGCACCAGGTGCAACACATTCCCATCACCAACACCATAATCATGGATACAAGATTTGTTACGAGCCAACTCCTTACCTTCAAAAACGAGTTTCTGTTTCTTGACAAAAAAACCTTTGAAGGTTTGAATTCTCAGCTTCACTGAAGCAATTGAATCTGTCTTCATAATATGCATGGGAATCACAGATCCACCAACAGTTAGGTAAATCAAAATTGAATCCTTCAAATGAGGACTGAAGCAGCCAGTAAATTCACCATGGCCATGGGTGTTAATCAATTCTTCATGAACTGTACGAAGTGCCACACAAGCCATTATCAATTACCGGTTCAAAACCTCGCTGACTGAAAAATAGACAAGTTATGAACCTCACAACCTATTCAATCGTTTCCCATCAAGGATTTAATGGAGAATCACAATATGATATCCTCAACTTTTTCTTCCTTTTCTATATTTACTTTGATTTTCTTTATCCATAACTGTAAACACAGCTCATGCCTAAACCTAAACAGCAAACCAAAAACACAAGCCTAAAATACGTATTTTAAGTTTCTTTCCGGACTCAGAATCAAATCAAGACTTCCAGAAAATGCAACAATGGAGGAATTAATATCTGATCACATGTCTCCTTGAATTGATGATAACATGATTTTCTCATAGCTGCAATATATGATCTATGCTATGTAAAAATTTGTATCTGCAGAAAAAGGAGGAAGCGAAGCCCTGCAAAACGTAGTCCAAACAAAAAACTTCAGTCAGAGAACATGAAACTCAATGAAATAAAAGAGTGTAAATTAAACTAAACAGTTAAACGATCTTTCTACAATAAAAAATTAATAAACAATAACATTTAATGTCATGAATAGATTAAATTTAGATATCCAATATTTTGAATAAAAACTCATCAACCACTTATAAACACGATAACAATCATTAAACTGGAAAATGTCTGGTTTAAGTTGCCATCAACGAGATATTTTCCACGAATTTCCTTGCTATGAAACCAAACTACACTGACAATTAACAATCCAAGCGACGAATCTTAGAAAAAACAGAAACTGAAAAGTTAGGAAATAAAGTAAAGAAAAAGCTTACAGAGAGCGAAAAAGAGAAGAAGCAGCAGCTTATGTTGGATGGCGGTGGTAGGAGAAATGAAACGCCAAAGTGCGAATCATTTTTGTGAGATTCCAAATTTAGCGGAAACGACTTGACTCATTGACTCACTGAGTCAGCGTCGTGGAAGACAAGACAGTCTCAGAACTCAGAACTACGGTCTGGAAATGGCAGCTTCAAGTTGCTCGAATGGGCTATTTATAGGCGAAGACTCCATAACTTGTCTCCCAAGTTATAAATTCTTTTGGACCTGTCCCCGCGTAATTATAATATTACTATTAATGAAGAATTTTGAATTTCAAAACTTTAATTTCTTTTGTTTCCCTGGGTTTTACTTAATTCTATAAATGAAATTTCTAGAACACTCTCGTTATGCCCCAATTAATATTTATCTCTTGCGGTAAGTCTACTACTTCACGAATTTGCATTTCACAAGCGTTAAAATGAAAGCCCGAGGCTATTTATTTATGAATAATTATACAAATTATTATGCTTTTATCTTTACATGTTTATACAATAATAATAAATGCTATTTTCATTTTTTGTACTGATGTTTAAAATAAAAATGGAAATAAGTTAATTTTTTAAAATTATTTATGACACAAGAAATTAAATCAGATTTAAAGAAAAATCAAATAAGCTAATTTTTAAAATGAATGATCATAAGAAAAGCGAATTGTTGTTTACGACTAATTTTATTTGCGAAAAGATTGTTAGTAACTGCTTTCAATATAGTTTTGAAATTTATGTCAAATTTGTTGAATCATGGGAGTCTTATTTTTATCTAATGATATTTACATGTAATAGTTTCACAGTAACAAAAAATTATAGTTCTATTATTCATTTCATTAAAATGAAATAGTCATTAATGCATAAATTAGTTTAATTAATTTATATTTTTTTCTAATTTATGTATTGTATGTCACATCTTATTGGTGAACCATTTCACGAAATTCATTTGTGAGAATTGAGAAAGATTATAATAAAATTTAAAGTTGCATTTAGTTTTTATTATGATTATTATGTAAAACACTGAAAAATATTTATATTATATTCCTACAAATTTTCAAAAAAAAAAATCTTCATAATTAAAAATAAATAAAATATTTTTTCAAATCAGAATGGCCTTTCATCGTTCAATTCATAAATCAAACCTATTAACCTTCGTTAATTGAAATATTTAAAATTTCAACAAAGGAAAACAAATTATAAATAGAGACATGATAAGTGTAGAATCTACCACATTACACAGTTAAGCGTTTGATGCAAATGCAAAACCAGTTGGTGTATTTATCTGCGAAGTGAATAGTTTTCATCATGTTAAGTAATGTAATATAACTTTTACTCCCTCCATTTAAAAATGGGTTTTTTAATATTGGAAATAATAAATATGATAATTAATAAAATAATTTTATTAAATTATCCTTATAAGGTTAACGTTGTTCGAAGAAAAATAATTTACATAATCACTAACAAATCTCTACCTTCACTATTTTTATTCGAGTGAGATAAAATAAAAATAAAAATTTTATTAGAATCCTAAAATAACACTCATTATAAAAAATATTTTTTATTAAAGTGATAATATTTTAAAATAAAGGGAGCATTATTTAAGTGATTATTAAATTTCGAAGTTATATACATTTTACAATATGTGATTATTATATTACGCGTCTCTAGAAAGCTCGCGACATTGTTTATCACTGCATCAGTTATTTTACTTTCATTGATTCTCAGCCTGACAGGACAAAATGGTAATTTTCTTTATGTTGACAATATTATTTAAGAAAAATAAAATTTTCATTCATGTCTTGTCGAAAAAATTGAAATTTTTAATGAAGTTGAATAGTACTAATTAAATTCCGTATAATTAAAAATATGCAAGTCACGTGATGACAAAATTTAACTAAAATTTTATAAAAGAATTATTATTTTTAATTATAATTAAAGTTTACCTTAATAACATATATTAGTTTTAATTACATATATTACTAAAATAAATTTTTGATTAAAAATAACACTAGAAATATCTGTACTAATATACTTAAATTTTGTTTATTACAAAATATACATTACACGATACAAATTAACTTTTAATTTGTTGCTATTATTTTTAAAGCATGCATTAATATATTTTTAAAAAAAAAGTTAGAATTTCTGCAAGGATAAGTAGTTATACTCTTATTAGACTATCTTTGTTCGTGAATCTCTCACTTGATATTACTTATTAAAAATGTTAAAATATTATGAAAAGAATGAAGTCAGCTTATTGGTGTATTTTATTTTATTATTGAATGACTGGAAACGATTGGTGATTGACACGAAAAATAAACAAAACAAACCAATAAGTGTGTGCCATGTCATATATTCCAAATCACGTACGATCTAGCCTTTTTTTTTATTAACGGTAGATCTAGCTTTAAAGTTTAAACTCTTTTTCATTTTTATGTTATTCCCTTTTTTAAGAAAAATTAAATAAAGGAAATTTTTTAAATTAAAAGAGTTATATCAATTTTACAAAAAAAATATTGAAATTGTTTTAATTTAAAAATTTATGAATTAAAAAATAAATCTGTCCTCTTTTCTCTTTGCTTTCAAATTTTAAGTTTTAAATATATCCTAACTTTTTTTAAATATGAAAAGAAATATAAGAAAAAGAAGTAACACAAAAAAAAGAGAGAGAGAAAATAGATTTAAAGGCTTGTTTGATAAATATTTTTAAAATTAATTTTCATTTGTTGAAAAAATGAATAATTTTTTAATTAATCCATAAATTGTTCCATTAAAGTCTAACAAGCGTTCCAATTAAAGTGGCAGAGTGGTCCAAGCATGGAAAGCTACACGCAACACAGAGAATGATTGTTTACAAAGAACTTGGTAAAAAAAAGCCTCATAGGAAATCTCAATCAGCAACGAAGGATTAAGTGCAAATTCTTGGATCACTAATTATCTGCTTGACCTTGGATCGCTAATTCTTATATGATCCATGTATTCTATTCCACCTCAGTGCGATATGCCTCCAATTAAGAGGATTTAATAACTAAAATGACTAAAACAAATTAGCTTCATTATCTTATGTTCAATCATTAATTTGGATAAAGAAGTTTTTGCTTATATTTTATTAATAACATTCGAAGAAATGAAATAGAATAATAATCAACTTTATTTTTTGTGTATAGACTACAAGTATCTTTCATCAGAAATAATCTTATTTGAATTAAGATAGATTATTATAAATGTCATAACTCAACCTCTTTTGATTAATCCACAGTGATACAAGCTTTATTGTTTGAATTGTTTGAAATTAAATTAAAATAAAATGAATCTATTCATTTAACTTAATATAATTCTTTCTCTTCTCTTTTATTGACATTATAATATATTTTATGTACGACAATAACAAAAATTATTACTAAAAGTTGAAAAATTGCCTAGATAATGACTTTTTAAAAATTGTTAACTAATTATGAGATAAAAAATAGTTTTTGAATTAGTTGCAAAAACGCGGTTTAAGTATTTTAACTGTGATTCTATAATTATCTTTATTTAGTTGTGATTTTTTTATTTTTCTTACTCTTTCACCTCATATGAATGCAATTATCATTTTGCTCATTGATTTAATTTCTTCTTGAATCCCATTATTTTCGACCTCATCTGTTTTGACTCATTAGTGTTTCGTCCAACTTTTCTCACTTTGTAACTCATAATGCACAAATATGCAATAATCGAAGAAACACAGTTAAAGTGTAACACAAAGCGTTCTACTTTCATTGGCAACTTTTCTTGATGAAAATGCAACACAATAACGAGAACAAATAATGAAGAAAGAAAATGCCTACATATAGCATAGCTATATGCATGTAAATTGCAATCCCTGGAAGCAATGCATAATTTCTAAAGAATTAGTCCTCTTCTAATGTTTTACTTTGAACTATTTCCACCAATAATTTTGTAATTGCAAATCGAGTTAAGGAAAGTAAGAGGAAACATATTCAGAATTTAGACAAAACTAGCCCACTAATAATTCCTACGGGTATAATATAAGATCTAGATTACTTAAGCCTTATTCAGTTATTTGATAACCAGAAACATTTTTTTTTTCAATGTGTAATGAAATGGGGCGAAATGACCATCAAAGTTAGGTAACCAGATATAAGGCAAGAGTAAAACCATCTCTTGGGGTAAAAAGAACTTCAGAAACTATTCTGCCCTTTCATCTAAACACAACTAGAGATGCATGAAAAAAGTTATGTTACAGATTCCTCTGAATGAATTCCCACATCCTCTCTTCCATATAAACTCGATCACTATGACGCCGCGGCATGTGGCGCTCGTCCGGGAAAATTATGAGCTCGTACGGTTTTCCAGCTGCCACAAGAGCATTGATAAGCCTTGCAGTGTGCCTAAAATGTACATTCTCATCAATCATGCCATGCACAAGTAACAACCTCCCTTTCAAATTGTGCACTTGATTCATAACAGAACCACTTTCATACCCTGACTGATTTTCGGACGGCAATCCCATGTACTTCTCTGTGTAAAATGTGTCGTATCCATCCCATGATGTAACGGGGGCACCGGCTATTGCACACTTGAAGAAATCTGAATATCTTGAGAGTGTCATGGCAGAGAGATACCCGCCGTAGCTCCACCCGAACAATCCAATGTGACCGGCTTTTGCAAGCCCTTGTTTGACAAGCCACTCTGCTCCAGTTAGCTGATCATCAGCATCAACTTGACCAAGTTTGTGCTTTAAATAGCTTTCAAACTTCAACCCCCGTCTCGCTGTCCCTCTGTTGTCTAACTGTAAACAAGGAAAGCAATATTTGACTTTGAAGGATGAGAAGACCATAAACTCAAAAACAGATTATAGAAACAAAGGCTAGATTTTTCAATGTTACATGCTATGAAAAATGGGCATAACTGCCCCATCTGCTACCACAAAAAAGGACAAAACCTTCCCTATTTAAAAGCTCAAAAGACAAGAACCTATGTTTTGGGGAATTAGAGCACTGGAACAACTGTTGAGCATACAAATGGAAATATGAAAATGCAAGGGTGAATATTTTTTCTTAATTAAAAACAAGTCCTGTCACTTGATAGAATCTCAGTGTATTATGTGATGAACAGAAACAACACAGGGAATAACCCTGGACTCACAACAGGAATTG